ATTATGAAATGGCGATACTCGGTCACAGAGTCGGCCGATTTTGCGGTAATCCGAGACCACAAGGCTGGAAAGGATTGGAACTTGACAGCACGCTCCTCAAGCTTTTCAAGTAATCTTGTGCATTTTGATTTACTTCTTCGCTTTAGTTGTTATTTAATTTGTGATCCACTGGCTAATACCGCTCTGATTTAATACTCTTCCAATTATTTGTTAGGGGTGTGCCAGGTGCTAACTGTGTAGGCACGCTTCTATTCCCTTCAAGATAACGATCCAGAGGAAGGGCCGACATCGAAGGATCAAAAAGCAACTTTGCTATGGACGTTTGGCTGCCACAAGCCAATTATCCCTGTGCTAAGGAATTCCTCAGTTTCTGGGCCAATAAGCCACCGGTGCATGTTCGCGGCCGAGCTTAGCTGGGCCAACGTTTTTAGCAGTTTCCGGTATGGAGCGTTCTCACACTATACTATTACCGGCTGGGTTTGGTGGATCGGCCAAGATTACACTCTTTACTAATGCCAATTCTTTAGCTTCTGGATATCTCAAATAGTGCCAAGAAAGCATAATACTAAGAGTCATTGGTCACCTCGTGCAATCAGCATCGTGGCGACTTGCTGCAAGGCCTGTGAACATCTCGTCGATAGCCCGAACTGCTGCAAGCTGAAGCGATGAGAAGACGAGATGGCTGAGGAACAGGAATATCCAGAGAAGCGAAAAAACCGCAATAACACATCTACGTGAAAGCCGAATCGCTTTGCCAGCCATTGAGCGATTGATTACAACCTGAAAATTAATCAAATGTCATTAAGTCTTGGAATGATGCTAATAGTGCGTCGAGCTCTTCAACTCTTCTTTCATGCCTCGTCCTTCACCTCTTCCTTCAGAGCTTCTAATTCTTACAATTTGCCACTGCTACAACATCAAATTGTTGAGGTCAGAAGGAAAATAAGCTTATCAAAAAGAAATAATAAAAGAGTTGAAATGTTTTTTAAAAGAAAATTTAGTAAAAGGGAAAGCGAGAAGACACTAAAAGGAGAATTAATTGAAAAATCTATAAAAAAGAAAAGTTGCTTTATGGAGAAGAAGAGGGAAATGAAGTAATAAAATGGGAAACGGAACGGAAAGAAAAGTCAGGCTACAACGGCGCCAATTTTTCGCGCTCTGATATATCTACGACTTTTCGATTACGTGAGCAGCCTAAGCTGTAATATTACACCAGGTTGTCTTAATCATTAGGTACTCTACTAGCTGCAACATCTAAGACTGAAAAAGCTGGGCTGTCCAATTCATGAAGATAG